CCAACAGAGCTCTCCCTGACGGCGTGGGAGAATCGAGGCCGCTTCAGGGAGACCCCCCCAAATAAGAAATACAACTCGGGCAGAAGCCGTGTTTCGACAACACACCCTCGCCCCCCACGGGCCGCTTACGAGCTCCGAGAATCTTCCAAGACAGCCCAACATAGCCTCCAACTGGCCCTCAACGCCCACCAAAGCGCCCCACGAGAGCCCCAAGACGGCCTGGTGGGTTTCGGGTGAGAAAGTGTCGGGTGGGCCTCCCAAGACAGACGTCTCTTGGGGAGGGGGTGCCAGGACGTGGTGGGGGCGAGGTGGGTGGCGTTGGTGGGTTTCGGGCGAGAAAGTGTCGGGTGAGGGTCCCAAGTACAGACGTCTCTTGGGGAAGGGGTGCCGGGACGTGGTGGGGGCGAAGTGGGGGGCGTTGGTCGGTGTTGGGCGAGAGAATGTGTCGGGCTGGGGGCCCAAGAACAAACGTCTCTTGGGGTGGGAGTGCCGGGCCGTGATGGTGGTGAAGTGGGGGGCGCTGGTGGGTTTCGGGTGAGAAAATGTCAGGTGGGGGGCCCCAAGAACAGACGTCTCTGGGGGGGGCCGAGACGTGGTGGCGGCGAGGTGGGGGGCGTTGGAGGGTGTCGGGTGAGAAAGTGTCGGGTGGGGGGTCCCAAGAACAGACGTCTCTTGGGGTGGGGGTGCCGGGACGTGGTGGGGGCGAGGAGGAGGGCGTTGGTGGGTTTGGGGCGACAAAGTGTCGGGTGGGAGGTCCGAAGAACAGACGTCTGTTGGGGTGGGGGTGCTGGGACGTGGTGGGGGCGAGGTAAGGGGCGTTGGAGGGCGTCGGGTGAGAAAGTGTCGGGTGCGGGGTCCCATGAACGGACGTCTCTTGGGGTGGGGGTGACTGGCCGTGGTGGCGGCGAGGTGCGGGGCGTTGGTGGGTCTCGGGTGAGGAAGTGCAAGGTGTGGGGGCCCAAGAACGGACGTCTCTTGGGGAGGGGGTGCCGGGACGTGGTGGGGGCGAGGTGGGAGGCGTTGGTGGGTTTCGGGCGAGAGATTGTCGGGTAAGGGGTCCCCAGGAGGCTGGGGATGTCAGACGTGGTGGTGGGGGGTCCAGGAGAATGTGGTGAGATACACGAAGGATGCCAGGGTCGAATGTCGGCAGGTCGATGGCTCTAACACGCCCCTTTCATCTCACACGACTCTGGGGTCGGAAGAGATATCGCACACGCCTCTGGGGTCGGCGGATTATGATTAGGATGGTGTTCCGTGTTATTTTTTCTCCCCCAATCCCGGCGCCAAGCGAATGCCGCCCAGGTCCTCCGGTACGTCGGCGTGATCGACCTGGTGGCGAAGAAGGCCATATGGCCCGTCTCTCCCCCCGCTCTGTTTGCTCCCCGCTCCTCCCACACCACTGCTGAAGCGTCTGGAGATTTTTGATGATGGCTATCGCGTTTTTTTCACGGCGCGCGTGCAGTGCTGAGAGGTGAAATTGTGAACGGTGTCGTTCGAATTGCCCCTCCGCCTTCCATCCTTCCTTCCTTGCATCCCAGATCGATCGCAGGACGAACCAAACCGAGTGACGTGGCGAAGCTCGGTCCCTGCCTCCCTGTCGCCTCCCCCGATCCTCTCTTGCTGCTGAACTACGGTCGGGAACGTTTGGATAGCGTGTCGCCCCGCTGGTTCTGGCCCACCGCGTTGCGGCGCAACACGCTATCCGCTTCCCAGTCCCGAAGCGTCAACGTCCCGAGCAGCTTTCCCGAGCCGTCCCCCCCGTGGAGCGGCGTCACGCATTGCAAAGCGTGTCGCCGGGGCCGTTGCCGTGACCTGCTGCTGCTGCTGCTGCTGCTGCTGCTGCTGCTGCTGCTGCTGCTGCTGCTGCTGCTGCTACTGCCGCTGCTGCTGCTGCCGCTGCTGCTGCTGCTTCTGCTGCTGTAGCCCCCCCCCCGGCTGGGGAGCCTGTGCTGTCGACCGCCGCCCGCCAAGTGTCCCCGCCTCCCTCCGCCCGCAAAGTTTCTTGCCGCTCATAGGGCAGACTCACTGCGCTCACCTCTGGCGCTGGGCCGCGACCCCGCGGATATAGGGGTGTTTTTGTTCGCGGATACCCCGCGCGGAACGTATCCGCGCGACCACGTATTTGCGGGATCGCGCCCTGGAATCCAGACCGCGACGGCCTGGATAGGGATAACTTTCGCCGCTCGTGAGTCCCAACACCTCCCGCGGATCTGTAGCCTCGATCCTCAGCGCCACCGAGGCGCGTCCCAGCATCGGGTAGCGCACTGCGTAGGAAGGCCGGCAGGACAGGGGCGGCGCGGGCAAGAGGTGCAGCAGGTTGCCACCTCTCTGCATCGACCAGACCTGACAGTGCCGCCTACGATTCGATTCGATGCGATTCGATTCGCTGACTGGGGCCACGATTCCGATACGACTCGATTCGGACCGATTCGCCAGCATCGGCTGGGGCTAGCCAGAACCAGGCGCGGCGATCCAACTTCGATGCGATGCGGGACGATTCGCTGGCGATCCGATCCTCTGCCGATCCGACCCGACTTCGCGATTCGACTTGTCCCTGGCCTGCCAGAGTCCCCTTTCCATACAGCGTGTCCATCAGGGTGGCGCTGAGATCGGCGGGCCGCGGAGATCCCGACCCCCTCGGCCCCGGGCCGGCCCCCTCATCCTGGGCCATCTCTGGTGTTGGCGGCCCCGGGGTCCCCAAAAGGCGGGAGGCCCCAACTCTTTTTGGAGAGGGCGGCCGTCGGGAGTCCTCCCCGGCGCCAGAGGTCTTGGCCCGACGCTCGACGCAGCCGGGGCAATGGGGGGGGGGGCTGGAGTGGTCCAGGGGGGGGCATCGACCCCCAACAAGTACAATCGCCCATTCCTCACGGATCGGGGCTCGGCTGTCCCACCCTGCCTGGCAAGCTTTCGCGATGGGGGGCCAGTCGCCGATGCATCGGCGGTGTATCGCCGACTACCGGCCAACGTCTCTCTCCCACCCCCGTGTTCGCCTCCCCTCACCGACACCCTCCACCCCCGCCTTCGCGGCCCTCATCACCCCCCATCCCTCTTGCGGCTCGTCTGGGGAGTCTTCGAGTCTGGGAGGCCTCTTGGAGCCGCCTTGGAGAGGCACAGCTCAAACACGAGGGCGGCTTCAGTTCAGCCACCCCACCCACCATTCGGAGGTCGAAAAAATATTCCTTGGAGCCGCTCTTGGGCGCTCTTGGGGCCGTCTTGCGGTCCTCATGGGCCCCTATTTGTGTTCTTTTGGGCAATCTTTGGCTATTTGGGGGATCACCTTGAGGCCTCGAAAGCCCATCGGAAGGCAGAATGTGGAAATGCAGTACACATTGATTTCCTTAGGTTGTTGAATGATGTTGGCCTCTTGGGGGGTGCCTTGAAAGACTCGCAGGCCACTTAGGATCGTCTTGGGGCGGTGATAGGCTTCTTGGAGGTATATCGGAGACTATCATGGGCCGGATTCGGTTATCTTGGACCATCTTCGAAGCCATCTTGCGCCCTCTGAGGCTCTGAGGCCCTCTTAGAGCCATCTTGGACCAAAAAGGACGCTCCGATCACTCGTGGGGCGCCCCGTCCAGACCCAGGGGAGGGGGAAGGGGGAGGGGCCCAGCTACCCACAGGCAACAAGCCGTCTCGCTCACTCCCAAAGCCCCCCATCACATAAGTAGCACCCGAGTCTGAGCACGGACAGGGGCTGCCGCCGACAACGATCGGGAACCAATGCAGACGCCAGCGAGGTGCCCGAAGCTCGCGAGGTGCGCCGCACATGCCAGGTGCGTCTCGCGCACCAGGTGCGCCACATTGGGCTATATACTTCGACCCTCCAACCGTCCCTGTCAAAAACGAATTGCAAAGTCGCGGCGGGTCTGCCAGCATTGTGTGTGTGTTGTGTGCGGGCATGCGCCAACGATCGCGTTGCAGATGCTTTTTGGTAGGGTTGTTGGGACTGCGCGCAGCAGGCAGCATGCCGCCCCCCTCCCCTCCCCGTCCCTGGCAGAGTGAACCGTGTGCTCTGCTTATTCAAAGGCATGGTGGGCCTGCACGCGGCAGGCAATATGCTTGTACCCCCGCCGTCCCTGACAAAAACCATACAATGTGGGCGCGGGGCATCCGCGCATAATCCAGGTTGTGGTGCAAACACTTTGTATTGTTTTTTGTTAGGGATGGTTGGGGTGGCGCTGGCATTGCACACAGCGGGCAATATGTTGCCCCCCCCCTGCCATCTTTTTCAAAACACTATACGAGGTGATCGCCAGGCGTCCGCGCATCATCCAAATGTTGGTGCAAAGTGCACTTCGTATATTTTTTGTGCAAGGGTTGGTGGGGAGGTGTTGCCATGGTCCTGGGTTGGTCGCCAGTCGGGTGGTGGAGGGGATGCACATTAATGGGGAACAGTGATCAAGCTACCCCAAGCCGCAAGCCGCTTCGCTCACTCCCACCCGCCCTCCCAACACATTGGCAGCATCCGAGCCTGGGGCTCCCATCCCACCGAGTTCATGAGTCTGGGCAGGGATGGTGGGCCTACGCAGAGCGGACCTTTTGGGCGCACCGCCGCCGTCCCCATCAAAAGCCAATGCACGTTGCTCAATGGGCGCCCGTGCACGGTCCTAGGGCTGCAGCGAGCGGACAATATGAGGGCACCCTTTGCCGCCCCTGTCGAAAACCAATGCGAAGTGATCGCGGGGCGTCCGCGCATGGTCCAGATTGTGATGCAAGGTGCACTTCGTATTGTTTTTTACGAGGGCTGGTCGGGGGGGGCCTCATTGCCCCGGGTTTGTCGCTGGTCGGGGTGAGGGGCTGTATTCGAATAAGGAGCAGTGATAGGCCCATCCCCCGAACATGGGAAGCAGAGGATTTGAAGGAGGGTAGAAAACAACTCGTCATGCCACCTTCGCCCAGAGGGCTGGTGGGATTCAGTGCACTCCGGCAGAGCAGGAGGATAGAATCGAGAAGAGCAGCACAGCAGAGAAGCAGCATAGTGTAGGCACGTTGCATTCCGCAGCCGTCTGGTCCAACCACGAAGACTTGCTATCCAATGGAGGGGCTGACATCTCGGGCGTGGCCGAGCCTCAGGGCCCCCGTCAACGGGGACTTCGACAACAAGATGTTGGTCGCGCCCGCGAAAGCATGCAGCCCTGAATCGAAAGAGACAGTTCTTTATCCCTTGGTGGCAACGGGCGTGACAGGATGAAGAAAAAGAAGAGGGGGCTGGTCACGTCAGAATTCGCGCCGGCGCCGTGTGGGAATGCCTGAGGACGGCGAATTCTCAGACGGCGCAGGCGCCAATCGTGACGTGACCAAGTAGGGTGGGGGGGCGCGGCCGGTCACAGCCGTTATCATACACAAACGGGCTCGAGCATTCTCCAGCCTTCGTTCTCTCCAGGTGAGATTTTCATTGTGCGGTCCTTCATGGGAGCCTCGGAGGGTCCCCAAACTCCTGTCGGTTCTGGGGACTTCGTTCAGACTTCGTCGGATATCCCCGACATCTGGACGCAATCTGTACGAAAGGGTGCAGAGGGTGGTCGAAATCTTGACGAGATCCGGTCGATGCCGTGTTTGAAAGAGGGCCGCGGAGGTCCACAAAGGCTCCAATGAAGGCTCACCCAATGTTCAAAGCCCTGGTTAGCAATGTCCTGTCGGCGGTCAGGTAGACGTGGCTCAGAAAAAGCAAAATAGCGGGCGGTCATGTTTGGTTGGTCAGGGGGCGACTCTCACTCCATGTCCCGACTAGAAATGACCCTGGCCATGACAGAGCCCCGGTTAGCAATATCCCAGCTTACGGGGGCCCTGCGAGCCACCGCGCCCGAGCGGCCGCCGCGCTGGCCGCCCGCTCGCCGCCTGCGCGCCGCCCGCGGCCCGCCGCGCTGCTGGCCGCAGCGCTGCTGCCGCTGCTGGGCGCGGCCGGGCCGCCACGGCCCGACGGCTCCCCTGACTCTCGACCCGCCGTGCTGTCTGGGCGGTTGCGTGAGTGCGGTCCCGGACCCCTTCTGCCGGGCCTGGGAACCGTCACAAAACGGTTCAGGATGAGACGCCAGCTTCGGGGGAATGGGTCGAGACCTTTTGGGGGTCGACGCTTTGATGGGGCAGTCATGACGTCGGCGGCCAGGAGGGGGGCATTGCATAAGGAACCATTGGATAAGGAATCCGCCATGCTTTCTGGACGATGTCGTAAGTACGATTCCAGCAGTGGCCAGGCGTCCTGGCTTGCATATAGGCCCACCAGAGAATGCTTGTTCCAAGAATTGTTTGTGGTCTGCACGAATCTTTCTTAGAACATGTCTAGCTTAATTCGTTATGTTTCAATACGTCGCACTTTCTGGTTGGAGCTGCCTGGGGGACTTTGACGGGGACGGGATTAGAGCAGGGAGGGCGGGCAGATTCCAGGCGCTGGGTTCGAACAGGTTGTTGGCCTTTTTCGGTCTCCGGGAAGCGTTTCTGGCCCAGGGGCCGTCAGAAACGGACCTGGGGTGAAAAACCATTGCAGATGGACCTTGGGAGGGGTCTGGACAGATTTTGAGCGGATTTGGCTCCATCCCCCCTGACCGATTCTGTGGGGCCCCGACCAGTTCAGACCCCCCAGCGGCCTCCAACTTTCTGGTCGATTTCGTAAGCACTGTGAGGGCATTGGATAAGGAAACATTGGAAAAGGAATCCAGGGTCTGAAATCCAGTGGATCACCAAGCGAGGCTCGGCCGTGAATACCACCGCCGCCCTCATCAGCTGAGGAGTCCTCTCCAGGGTCTGAAGCCTCATGGGCACATTCCTTGACGAACGCCCCCACAGTAGGGCGGAAAGGTCTGCCCTGCCTTCCAAGACTCTTTGATGCCGATTTCCGCCCTGCTCTGCCATCGTTGCCTCCGCCATGCCTTTGCGGAGAGATCCGCTGTTTTTTTTCCAGGGCAGAAGTTTCCGCCCTATTGTTCGCATCGCTTGGGGTGAGTTTCCGACACGCTCTGAAGTAGTAGAAGCAACCGAAGCGTGGCGGATCCAGAGTCAGGGCCATGCGCGGCGGCCCACGGCGGGCCGGGAGAGTGCTCGTCGGGTGGCCCGGGAGGGCACATGCTCCGCCATAGAGCAAACATCCGGATCTCCAGCGATTTTTTTTGTTTTTTTGTTCAACCGGCGGGTTTCACTTCGATTTCGGCCGCTGACGGCCTTCATCGGGCCCGAGGACCATCAAAAACGGATCTGGGGCGGAAAACGGCCCCTGGGGAAGCGGTCGGGATTACTGGGGTTGCGGAGTAAAATTGTCAGGGAATGGATCTACCTCATTCAGTTAAGCGTGCAAGATGGTCTGTTGCATAATTCCTGGCGTTCCTGTTAAACAGCGCTATTTTCGTCCCTTGCTGATCCCGTGCCGTGTCTCTGCTGCTTTCGTTCCCGTGTTCTCTATTGTTCTCTGATGTTCCCGTTTATTTTGCTGCGTTGTATTTCTCTATTCTTCCCATGACCTTGGCGTTCTTGTGTCTTTGTTGTTTGCTTTGGTGTGTCCTTTGTTGTTCCCGCGTTTTCTTCTGGTTCCGTTTCGGCTGCTTCGTTTTTGTGATGCGTTATTTCCGTGGGCCCAGTGTTGCCATGTTTTCCTTTTGTTAGCTAGCTTGTTTCCCCAGCGTGTTCGGGCGGCCGGTGCCGTGGCCGCTTGGGAAGCAGAGTATGAGTGCACATTGTTTGTCGGGTTTCCCTTGAAACGGAGCATTGTTCCTCCCAGAAGGCGCGCGGAAGCGGCAGCGGAAGCGGCGCAAGGATCTGTGCGCGCTTGTGAGTGGACGGGTTAGTTCAGGAGCGTGGGGGGGGGCTCTTCGCGAGCCAGATTCGCAGGGCACGGCAGGCGTGCATTTTCGTTGCCAGGGGGTTCGAGCGCGGTTCCAGTACATTCCAGGGTTGCACGGCGCGGCGCGGCAATCTTGTCACGCCAGAGGGGTTTATGGGCGGCGGTCTTTGAGAGCAGTCTCTTCGCGCTCCGGGATCGCAGGGCACGGTCTCGACATTTGAGGACTGCGCAGGCGTTGGCCCCTGCGCGCGGCTTTGGTGCGTTCCAGGCTCGCGCGCCAGCAGGCGTGGCATCTTCTCGATAGCAGAGGGTGCGCTCAAGGGGTGTTTCCTTCATTCTTCCTAGCAGCGTGACGATTGCACTCGTAAGCTCACCGAATGTAAATGTGCGGGGTATTCTTGTTTTGGGAGAAGTGCGCCAATCCCCGCCGGAAGGGGCGCGGAAGCAGTGGCAGAAGGTTGGCGGAAGCCAGCATGCCGATTCTTGCGGAAGCGCCCAGACCGTACGCAAGACGGGACACGGGCAAGCAGAAGACGTGCGATTGTCATGTTGTACGGTTTGCAATGCCATGGAGAAGCCCTCAAAGGCCAAAATGCACACGTGGACAATACTTCCAGGAAGGGAGACGCGCGCTTGACCGAGCCGTCGCAGGTAAGGTTGAAGATCGAATTCATGGAGAAAGGGGCCATCCCGACGACGACCCCGAGCAGCAAGAAGAAGATGTCTCCATGCGGGTACACTCCGCGTGAAGATCGAGCCGAGGCTCGTGTGCTGCTCGGGGGCCGCCGAGGCGGCCAGGCCCCACTCGGGCAGGCGCCCATGGCGCCGACCCGTGGCCCGAGGGGGCCCACGTGCATGCCGTCGGCGGCGAACTCACTAACCAGTACGACGGCCCGCCTTAGCCTTCCGCTCCGCCACCTCTGTGTCGTCGACCGTGTCGTCGTCCACGTTCCCGCCAGCTCTCTGCTTGTCTGCGTCCTTTCCCTCCCCTTTTCCCTTGCCCTTGCCTTTGCCAGACATCCCCTGCACGAGAGGACCATCACGGCTGTTTTGATGGGCAATACCCAGGGACTCCGTTCTAATTTTGTTGAGCTCGTTGAGGCCTCTGAGAAACTCGACCTCCACGACGTTGGACGGCATGAACTTCCAAACCCAGGTGCGTCGCGTCCCTCTCGATGATCGGGGTGCTTGGAGGGCTTGAAACGAAAAATCTGATCATCCAACTGCTCTGGTGTGAGGCCGTCAAGTTTACCAAGGATACTGGCTTGAGGGGATCCCTGAGGTACTTTGCTGATGAAGATGTGGACGAACTTCTTGAAGAGAAGACTGCGCTGTGATCCGAACTCATGGTCATCCATGCTGGCGTGTTTGTCCGTCTTGAGCGTTTCTTTGCGTCGCTCCTTCCGATCTCGATCCTTGGCCCCCCAGGCGTCCCGTAGCTGGGAAATCTCGTTCTTGACAGCATCATCCTTGAAAAAGACTGCATACGATACCCGATCTTGAAGCTCATGAAGGTCCCGCTCAAGAGAAACCATAACCCGCTCAATATTGCGAACCCGATCATCGAGGCCGCCCGACGAGGTGGGTGGTGCACGCCCCCTGCGCTCGCCACCGTGGGAGGACCCCGCAGCAACATACGCCTCGGCAGCCTCGAGCGTGGGGGGCATGAAGATGAGCAGGTGAAAAAGGAGACGAAATTGCAGACATAACCCGATCGATACTGAGCGCCAATCCCGCATTGAGAGGCCGGCTTGGACCCTGCGATGGCGACAGGCAATCACGTGAGCAGCACATGCACGAACCGATGGGAATGTGTTGAGACATGTGGGGCATCGGGCAGTCATCCGATGCTTTTCTGTTTGTTCGACTCATATTAAGTTTAAGCCATACTTCATAAAAGGTGCCGATGTACACTTGTGTCTGTGCATAGCATAAGGTAATTGTTTCAGGCAGTATGTGCACGTCAGCTTGCGAGCACTCTTAGTAGTAGCAGTACTCTTGAGTGTACGATCATAACGAGTAAGCTTCCCAGGTTTAGGCTTTCTGATGCGCTTGATCGGGCGGGTAAGGTCGGTGTTCAAGGTCATGGACGACGCCTGGTAAGTGATCTTCTCGGGCTCTCCTGAGGACCTCCCCCCTGCTTGTTTACCCTGTAGGCGACGATGACGATGAGGCTTATGCTCGAGGGCTCGGACTTCAGCTGCTTTAGCTCGTAGTCGTACTCGTTTGGCTGGAGGAGGGGTGGGAAGAGGTTCGGGAGTGGCAGCAGGACCTGCAAGGAGACGGATACGTCTTGCTGGCACCGCTAAGACTTGTGCTTGCGGTCGCTTGTCTCGAACGCGCAGGCGTGGCTGGGCCAGCCGCTGCCATGCACGCGAATCCGCATGCTCTCGTTCTTGTGCGGTGACCGGCTGGCCTTTGCAAAAGCGTCTGCGATTCGACAGCGTCACACGACGTAGTCCGCACTCAGGGCAGGTGAACCTCTGCGTCGGCGGCTGTGTCCCCCGTTGCTAAGGCCCGTGATGGTACGGGTCGAAGACGCTCTCTGAACCTAATCGCGGAATGCCTGGCGAGATCCATGATGTCGATTTACCCACGTATTTGCATCTCAACGTGCTCGGAGGTCGCGAAGAAACTGCGTTTGTGCCTTCTGCCACCGGTGGCCACGTTGAGGAGAGAGAAGACCCTGTTCAGCAAAACGCTGCCACTCCTGAAGCCAAACTGGTGAGGGCAGACCTGAATACGCCATAACATCCTCCATCCTTTTTCTGAACATACGCGTTTGAGGTGTAGGGTGAGGGGGTTTGCGGGCGTCGAACATGAAGTGGAGTACAGCCCGCTCAAGGCGAGCACCTGGTAGCCGTGCTAGATGTCCCAGGTAACTGCATTGTCGACCGGCAATGTATTCAATATCGTCCAGTCCAAGTTCTGCTGATATGTGCTTGTAGCTCGTCCCTTCATCCATCGTAAAAACTCCAGTCCTGATCTTGGCATTATCCAATAGCGAATACATTTATTCATGAACAGTCGATAACGATGTAGGTCTTCTCTGGGAAATGTCTGACATCGCATCCATACAACAATGATGCTAGTACAACTGCTTCGAATACTCTGGATTTCTGCCTCAAGGTAAGACCTAAACGGGGAAGAGGTCCTTTCAACTTGAACTATAATTCGCCTGCTGCCTGGAGCCGTATGGCAGCGTCGTCCTCGCAGCCACCGTCGAAGTCGATGTGGCAGCCCAAGAACGTATGGATCAGGCCCAGTTGCGGTCCGGGGGGGGGAAAAAGAAAGGTAGATGCAACCACGGCCTTATCAAATCTGTCGGGGTGCGCTTGCTGTCCTAGTTCCTCCAGGACATGAATGATTAGCTCTTCGACTCGAGACTGCTTTGAAAATCTGCTCACTCCAGTGGCATCATCAGCGAACCCCGGGACTCGCAAGAGAGAGGGAAGATAGGTATTGTCCGTTGTTTTTAGGGGGCGTCGTCGCGTAGGAGGGGCCGACGGGGAGGTCGGCATCGCGAAGAACCGAATCCCATCATCACCGATACGTGTTTTAAGACCTCGAAGTACGAGATTGCGCAGTATATTGAACACCACGCAGGATGAGGGACACCCCTCTCGGAGTCCTCAGCGAAGCTGATATGGGCGGGAGACTTCCGTGGGAAGGCGAATGACGCACTCGGTGCCACTGTGAAGGCCGCCCAGCCGCGCAATCATATCCGGGGGTACTCCGAGCTTTCCAAATAGCCCAGGCGAGAGACTTTGGAACATTCGGATAAGCTTTCTCAATATCTGCCAGCGTAACAATGATTGCGTTCCCCAACTCGCCCTCAGAAAATGATGCATCGTGGGCCGCCGATTCGACCACAGCACGAAGTAGAACAGCAACATCAATTGTCCGTCTGTAAGTTCTGAAGCTCCATTGTTTTGGCCCCAGGAGATGTTAATCCTCTGCCCAGGCTGAAGGCCTAGGCGCACAAATCCGCGCGAGGATCCGAGACGGTATGGTCCACAACTATATACCATGGTATTGCTTCAGATCACCTCTCGAACCTTGTCGCTTCCATAGTAGAATAACAGCACTACGATGAAGATCTCGATCCCACTCGCTAGGATGAGCGTGCCAAAGATGTCGTATCAACTCCCAGAGTAGATCTGAGCACTGGGGCCGGCCGACTTCCAGAGGCCGATGGTGATCTCGTCGCCGCCGCCAGCGGATTCGTGCATGCCTCTGATAGCGTCCTAATTTTCGTCGCGAGTGAGAGGGGAGCTCAAGACGGTGTCGATCTCCTTCTGGGGTTCGTCCTGGATGCGCTCTAGCGGGACATCGTTGGGGTGACCTGCCAGCTGAAGAAAATGATCGCGTGCCTGTTGTGCTGAGAACGACGTGGACTCATGTGCGCCCTGGTCATTGAGCCAAGCTCCGAGATCGCGAAGATGCCGATAGAAACGACCAAGATCGTGATCTTGCATTGCCTTCTCGCACTCATTGACAACTTCTGATACAAGCTGGCCTCGCCATCGTCGTCGGTTTCGTCGATAACGTCGTTTGAGTAGACGATGTTGGTCCATAGCTATCTTCCGATCTTCCGGGTTCGAGGAGCGACGCATTGCATCCCACGAAATGTGTAGCGAAATGTTCTGAGATCGTTCTGCTTCTCTATTGCGAGCAAGCGCAGGAATATCATCACGTCGAGTCCTGCGGCCAACGACATCATCTGCTGCTTCACGAAGGCACGCTGAGAGTTTGGTCCAGGATAGACGGGAAGTTGAAGACGAACTCGGAATTTAATGGAATTTGAAGAGCCTGTAGTGCTGCATCTGACGCTTGTTTATATTCAGTACGTAAGGCCGACGCCGCGTCTCCACGGCCTCGGAGTAGATCTGAACGCAGTTTGCCTCGGGGGCGGAGCTCCTGGGTAAAGCCTGAGACCCAGTGCGTTCGAGTGGCCTTCGGAGGTGTGGTCACCGGACCGTACTCGTCGCCAGCAACGAAACACTTGAAGCGAGATTTGTGATCTAGTATACCTTGGAGGTCCATGTACGCGCCCTGGGAGATGTAGAACAAGACTCTTGGTGAAATGATCACCATCTGGAAGGGCATGCGCGCGGAGCTCGTAGAAGCGAGTGAGGCACACGTCTGGCTTGTTGGTGAAGAAACAGTCGAGCTCGTAGAAGTACTTGAGGGTAGGATGGTACCACGTCGCACGTCGCTTGGAATTTAGCCTGGAGCCGATGTGGTGCAGGTTGTTATGTTACCCACAACAAAATCGAGAAGATGTTGAGCATGCTTGGAGGTAGCCTGGGAGAGCTTATACTTACCATATGCCGGGTGCTGAAGGTCAGCGCCCACGTGAGAATTCCAGTCACCTCCAAAAATATTAGTTGAATTTTGCGGCAGTGCTGCGAAATAATCGGTAGAAGTCTCTGACAAGGATTGGCGTTCGAGAGGGTATCTACCAGGCGGCCAGTACACAGCGTGAAAATCGCATCGGTGCTGGTGATACTGAAAATGCAGGTGAAAATGTCGATCGTCAACTTTATGAACTTGGTTGGGCATCGTAACTACTCCAGCAAGTTGGGGGGGCAGCAGGAATCCACATCGACCCGCGCCGACGAGGACGAACTCCTCCAAACCAAAGTACGTAGTGTGCTCAGAAAGCGCGAGATCGCTCAGGAAGACGATGTCCCATTTCTGCTTGCGTGATATCATCAGCAAGCCCTGGATCTTAGAACGAGAACTCGGTTCCATGCCGCTGGGCAAAGCTGCTGGGTAAGATGGACCGTGTGGCACATCCGATGCAGCCGACGTGCAGGTGCATTTAATTTCGAAGGAGTCGTCGGAATCACCTTCCATGGTAAGTTTGGCTTCTCTTGCGACGTGAGGTTGTCCGGGGTACGTCGATCAGTGATACGTTTACCACGGTGGTTGAAAAGACGCGGGTAGCGGGGGGCCACCTCGAAGCACTTCTCGCTTCCTATACGCTTGAGGCGTCGAATTCTCTCTCGGCGTTGGCCAAACCACAACCTCAGTATCGTCGTGCAGCGAGTCCAGGTCGTAAGTCCGTTGCCCTTCCATACCTGTAGGAGGTGCCGATCCAGGAAGGGCTTGCAATGCCACGCGTTTGATAGTAATGCGCGCGGCGGAAGGCTGCGGAAGCACAGTGGAAGGCGGCGGGAGCCTTCCCAGCATGGCCTTTACACGCCACGGAAGGTTGCCAGAAGCTTGGCAGAAGGTGGTGGGAGCGCAAGCCTTGACGTAGATGTGCAAGGCGGAAGCTTGCGGAAGGTTTGCGGACTTCCGCGGAAATCAAACATTGTATGAGAAGAAATGTAGGCATCGAGTCTCTAGATTGTGTCATATATGCACGATCATACATCTGAGCACATACACATTTCTGTATACATATTCATATAAAGATATGTATGTATGTAATAAAAGTTGAGTGGCCGTAGCATGTCCGCTGGGATCTGGGACCGAAGTGGGTTTGCGAAGATTTGGTGTCATTTGTCATGTTCCTTCTGCCTAGGTGCATGGGTTTTGCCAGAGCCGCTGGAGGATGATGAGCTCGACGAAGAGATGGATGCATTGCGCACGGAGTTACTCCAGGCAGCCGCGTCTCGCAGCAGAAAGAAGAACACCCTGGGCGGCAACGAGCGGTTTGCTGACGATGGGCCCCTCGACCCTTTCGATGACCATGGTCACCATCACCATCACGACATGCCGCCGCATCCCGCGCCGCGGCCGACATCGCCGCAGGAGGTGCAAGGCAAGATCATATGCGTGCAGAACGGGGGCTTGTTCGATCTTTACTGGACGATGACAGATACCATCTCGGGCCAAATGTCAAACAGTTCGAGGAAGTACCACAAGGGCGGCAACAATTGTTTAACCATCTCCGAGGAACTCCCTGGTTGTGCAAACGGCGACCCGATCGCAATCACCGTGAAAGCGGTAGGTGGTGCTGAGAAGATTTTCCAGCACGTGAGTTACGACAGCCAGGCGACAGAGGTGGTTGTTATTACATGCAAGGGGAGCGCCCAGGATTACGATTGTAAACCGACAGAAGGCACTCCTGATTCGAACATTGATGGCAAATTCGGAGGTGGTCGAACCCCAACGCTAGGGGACGACCGTGAATCACGATAGCACACTGAATGATTGGTCTGCGCGATCTATGACCTTGCAGGGATTGCAGCCGCTCTCGCATCATCCGACCAGCTTGACGCAGCTGCGGCATCGAGCACAGCGCTCTCAGGCGGCTGAGGTTCACACCAGCTATCGCGGTACAGTCCACGCCCCGCAAGGCACAAGGCCAGCGTAGTTGCATTCACGAGGGGGTCAAAAAGGGGGGCAGAAGCGGAGAAGAGCGAAGAGGTATGGAGGGAAGGCAGACCGCCAGGTGCTCCAGTTCACGCACCGTCGCCCGAGCAGCGCATGACCCTGACATCCGCCGATCCGATTTTTTTTTCAATCCGCGGCCTCAGAAGTCCTGACCGCTTCCCCATGCGTGGTTTGTCGTCACAGATCCGTTTTTGATTGGCCCCGGGCCTGATAATGGTCCCCGAGGGCTGAAATCGAAGAACAAAAGAAACGCCAGCCGAAAACGTCAGATCGCAAGAGACTTGGGGACCCCTAACTCGGGATCAGCCGAACTTTGGGCGATTTCGCAAGCAAGGCGAGAATTTCCGCTGTATCAGTCAGGCTCCTTTGATGCCGATTTCCGCTCTAATTTGTCGTCGTTGCTCCCACTATCATCTTGCAGAAATATCCGTTGTTTGTCTGAGGCGGATTTCCGCCCTGTTTTTTCGCATCGTTTGGGCCGCATTTCCGACACACTTGCAAGTGGGAAAATCAACCAAATGACGATGGATCCAGTGTCAGGTTCGTGCGATTGCAAATCATGGGAGCCTTGTATCCCTTCGCAGCTCCGTCTTTAGAGTGCGTCAGCGTGCGCTAGCGCCAGGCAGTCGACGAGAAAGCGCCGATCCCGCGTCGATTAGCGTCGATTAGCGTCGATTTAGCGTCGACTAGCGTCGGCTTAGCGTCAACAGCGTCGATTAGCGCCGATTCGCAGGAGCCAACAGGAAGGTATGGGAGGCTCCCATGAGCTGTCACGGAAGATTCCGTTTGTTGCGGCCAGAGTTGGCGGGCCCAACGGCGGTGCCAGGACGGAGAGAGCAGCAGCAGGAGCATTGGGCGTTTTGCCGCACGGGCAATTGTTGGCTCTCTTGGTCGTGGCACCACGGCCCCGCGTGCCTTCTCCACTGGCGCAGGCGATGCTGAAAAGCTTGATTATTCTCCTCCATCCCTTCCTCCTGTCTCCCTGCTCCCCTCTCCTTCCAGCCTCCCCCCTCTCCTCCCTTCTCCCGGTTCCTCTTCTCCTTCTCCGCCTCGTCCCCCTCTTTGTCCTCCTTCTCATCCTCCCCTCGTCGGCACCCTTCTCTCCACTTTGTATTAGTGTGCTACGGATCCGAGGATCCGTGCTGAGCATACTGCAATGCTGAGTGCGAAGAATGTGTCCGACATGGGGTCCAAAGCTTTGGTGCGAGGACAGACGGACAGGGTCAGAGAGCTCTGGTGCACAGTTTTTGTCTGGATCCCTTGAGGATGCCTGCGTGCAAGAAGAACGTTATATATAGAGAGATTACAACCAAGAGGAATCACTGTAGTGCTAGAGCATGGACAGTTGGTAACATGTTGTCTTACGGTTCGCTTGCTTGCACGTCATATTACACTTAGGAGTGAGGCATGTCAGACACTTGGATTGCAAGAGAAGGCGGTCTTCAGTCACTCACTCACTCGCAGAGCACAGTGTGCCTGATCTTTCAGGCATGTATCTCTTCTGTTCTCGCGCACCAGCATTAAGCTCGCAGCAGCTGCTTTGGATTTGTTCTCAGACCAGCAGGACGGTTTCTTTCCTCGCCCCAGTGGCACCCTCCGTTAGCACACCAGGTGCTCGTTTCAGCGGTCTTCTTCGGTCGTTGGCCTTAGGTGAAAGGTTGCGGTATATTTTTGGCAGATGCACTCCTCAGCGGCACATCAGTTGGTTGTACGCATTTGCCAGCGTGTGCTTGGTGAAGTAGTCAGCGAGCTGCTCGCCAATCTGGACGTACCGCACGACAGCGAATCCTGGACGCACGTGGTCTCGCAGGGCCCTCGCTGTCATGGCCAAGTTCCGCGTCCTCCAAGTACTGCGGGCGTCCACAATTTCAATCGCAGCCGTGACGTCGATTGCTGAAGGGTGTGCCACAGAGATGCCCACGAACTCGAGGAGGGACCGCACGCCGGAACCCAGGATGAATCCAAGGTTGACCGTTTGGAGCTCGCACTCGCAAGACGATGTCGAGACATGTGAAGCCTGGCATTTGCGCCATGCCACAGCGCAGCCAGCCCAGGCGATGGTCGCACCCAGGTGGCTCGTGTTGCCGCCGTCTGGACCGCAGGAGGTATCGCTGCAGGTCTTCAGGTCGCTCTCCGCTGCCTTGTCGGTGAACGGCGCGCACATGACGCCGTAGCCCACCGTCTTGCGGACGCACCTCAACAGGCGCATGCCCATTTGGAACGCCCATTCATGGGCCGCGGTGGCCACGGAGGCGATGCGGTTCACCGTGTGGGCGATGCCTGGGCGGCTGCGTGATGGCAGCATCTGCAGGCTGCTGGCAAGCCGCTGTGCTTTGACCACGGTAGCCAGGTCATGGGCCACGTCTGGGTCGGCACAGGCGGTCTGGCATACCGGCCGCAGGAGGTGCGGAACCATTACTTTCCATTGGCCCGCAGTCGAGTCCAGCCTTGGCACTTCTGCTGTTCGCGTGCTCGTTGTCTGCCATATCGCCAGGGGGGTCTGCGCACCTGCAGCTGTCCATGCCCTTCTGGTTCAGGAGATCCTGAGCAAAAGCATGATGGAGGAGAAAATATACAAGACGATGTAGCTTTCACCGACATTCCGATGAACTTCATCGCCTGGCCGCTGCCAGGCTTAAAGTAGGTTGGGCCCATGACCTTCCAGAACAACTTGATCGTGGAGAAGAGCGCCTCGGGCTCCGATGTCGTCCACGTAGGTCCCATCAAGACCAATGAGGCTGGCGGCGGGGTCCGTGATGTCGATGTTCTCGATGTTGTAGCCGGTGGTAATGATCTCCGATGCACCATACAGCTAGATCAAGGGCAGCATAGTTTACGGTCCATGCCATCTTGCGCAATGCACCGCCCATTTCGTGTTGCCATTGGTGCGGGCTCACACAGAGGCCATAGAGCGCCCAGTCCAGGACCCACAGCTCTTCCGAGTCTACGAGGCCTATCATCGACAAGGTTTTTGGGCGGCCGGACAGCGATCTTCATGTCTTCTGGCAGCGCTGCGGTAAGGAACGCCGTTTTGATGTCGATGGTGCCCAGGGCGTGGTTTTGCCCAGCAGCCCGCCGCAGCAGCATCCTGAACAAAGTGGCGTCCACAAGCTGGGTGTCCAGCCTCGGGCCCAAGTCCGGCGCCTTGGACTGCTGATCGCCGCAGCCTATGACTTCTACATTTTCCCTCCATTTGCCATTTTCTGGAGCCTTGAGGGTGGCCAGCAACCTGGCCGGGATGATCTTGAGAGCGCCAGACTTGATATTTTGCCGTTCCTTGTGGGATGCAGGGTGGTGCTGTAGCAAGAGAATCTCGGACTGAATCGCCTCAATCCACTCGAAGCGCTCCTGGCCGGCTGACGCCTCCACGTCCTTGGTCGGGATAGGCTGGTCTACGCCTTGCTGAATATCCTCCAGCAGCTGCGGGTCCACGTCCTGGGAAGTCTCCTCCATGACCGCCGAGGCAGCGACGTCGACCACGAATTCTGGCTCCACGGCGACTGGTTGGACGATCTCTTCCTCAGAGGGCGCTGGCAACAGCCTCAGAGGATCGAGGGGAACAGGAGCCTTCGCACATTCGTCCCAGACACGGGCATGTGCTCTGTGAGTGCCGCGGAACGCTGGACAGCCCCACACTGCCCGCGCTGCGGTGCCGCTAGCGCTGGTGGAAGAGCACGTGCGTCTCACGTCGCGTTCTCCTCCTCGGATTTCGTGGCGATCGGCTCATCCTCCTGCGGCAGTTTCAGGTTCGCCCACGCGAGCTCTCGAGGCGGCGGGCTCGCAGCCTGGATGTTCCATGTCTCCAGCCGGCCGTTCCTTTAGATGCGCGCGGCTTTGGAAGCGCTGCCTGCTTGGCAGAAAGCAGTCGCGAGCGTGGCTCTAGGAGCCAAATCGTCGCCCGGCTTCGGCCGAGCAGTTGCAACCATTCTGGAGCCAAGCGGCCACTGGCCCAGGCGAATTGAGCTGGCGCCGGCGTCGGACGCTGGCCATGCCATGCCCCACCATTTGGACCGAAGGCCAGCTTGCAGCAGCAGTGCGCACGCACCGTGCCGGATGCCGCCGACAGCGTTCTCGGCAACGCCGTTGGCCTCGGGGTCGTAGCCCTCCGCGCGGGCGCGGTGGATGCCGGCCGCGGGCGTTTAGGCGCCGAGTTTCTCGTTGGTGAATTCAACGCCGCGGTCGCTGTGCAGCTGGTGCACATGGAAGTTCATGGCGTTGATCTGCGCCACTACCTGCTGTGCCGACAGGAGCGTCTCCCTCGCAGATTTGCCGCACCAGAGCTTCGCGAACCAGAGGCGCCCCTTGGGCTCGATGGGGGAGGCCGCGGCAGCGTCGGCCGCCAGGCCCTGCAGCCAGTTGTCCGCTGGCTCCTCCGAGCTGGCCCTCGGCACCCGCTCGCCCGCGTGCTCGATGTCCACGTCCTCTGGCGCGTGCCCCGCCGCGAGGAAGTAGAAAGCCTCGTTCCCCCTCGCCGGAGGTGCATCAGGGCGCAGGGTGCCCGCGCGAGAGCCGTTCAGGGCGACTGCCAGTGTCCCGCCAGCGTTGCCGCGAAGCCGCGCGCGATGCCGCTTGCGCACGGCGGCCCCCGGGCAGCGGCCGCGCTGGCGCATGAACGGGAAGCGGTTGTCCGTCACGCGTTACTGCATCTCCTCGCGTGCCGTCTCGGCGGCGCCGCGCAAGCTGCGCGCCATCTCCTCCTCGGAAACGTCGGGCCCATGGAGCCTGGCGATCTCGACCCAGCGGAGCGCAGCGCGCAGGTTCTCGGGCAGAATCGCGTCGATCTCCTCCAGCAGCGCGTCGAGTGAGCCCAGCGGGTGCATCTCGAGGACCGCTGCCTCAATGCCTGCCGCGCCACGAGCCCGCAGCCGCAGGTGAAGATGCTGGCGGTTCCCTGGGCACTTCTTCCCCATCGATGGCAAGTCGAAGTTGGAAGCGAGACGGGTCGCCATCCCGATGGGGGCGACGTCCAAATCCGCGGCCCCGCAAGCGCACACATCCAAATACGCGTTGGTGACGCCAGGAAGTTACACAACTGACTTCAAGGGGCTGTTCGCAAATCGCAAAGATCGGCGACACAGTTGGATTTCCGAGGACGAGGAGTCTCCAGGCTTTGACCTGCAGGTCGCAGAAGGGGGCGAGGACCCCCAGGCAGCTGCGCTCCGCCTCTTGCGCCAAGCGCTCCGCCGCCTGGAAGCGAGGCCCTGTCCAGGACCACATCCGCGAGTCAGCCACGATGACGACGACCTCCTGCTTTCTGTGGTCATTCCCTTCTCGGATCATGCTCGGGTGATCAGGATGGCTCATGCCCCAGCCGTAAAGGTAGTCGATCGGCGGGGTCGGTGTCACTTCCGTATCGATCGCATGTTGAATGCCCCGCTGCCGCTTCATAGCCCCCGCGCCGCCCAACTGCCTGGGTTGCAAGCCAGCCGGTCTGTCCAGGCAGCAGGACTGACCGACGCAGCGCCGTGGTAGAGGAGCTCTGGAAGCTCCCAGCAGTGCTCGCGGAGCCTCTCACCCTGGTCGGCCGACAGCCTGTCTGGGAGGTTGCCGCCGCAGTTCACCGCGCAGGTGCTGCCGCTCACCTGGTCCCTGACCGCCACGCACGGCAGTCCTCCGCCGTGCCCCGAAGGATCTCGCTGATATTCTTAACTGTTGCCAGCGGGGCGCACGGCGAAGATTCCCGGACCATCAGGTAGAAGGTCGTTCCGCTCGGGGCCACCAGGCGCGGGCCCCCGGCTCTGTCTCAGGAGACAGCGAAGCCGCGGGCGACGAGCCCGCCGAGAGGAAGCAAGTCTTGAGCGCTGTTGGAACGCTCGCGTCACCAGTTCCATCCGTTGTAATCGGATGGACCACGGCCTCGGGAAGGCCATTTGGGCCGACACCGCTCTGGCAGGGCACGGACCCCACCGCCAGGTTCGAGGTGGCGTTCGACTAGGCAACGGCTCTCCTG